TTTTCATTCCCCATTCAGGGACAAATTTATCAGAAATTTCGTTAATTTTGAATTTCCTCCTATCTAATAGGATATCTTTCAGTAGCAAAGTTCCTTTTCCCTCCGATTGTCATATTCGGTTTTTATCCTAGCGGATGATCCCCATAGACGACATCTCAACCATTCGACTCTTCTATTTGTACACCACAACAAGTGTATCACCGTTTCATCCTCCATGGAGCAGTACCTACATAATCTGACAGGCGATAGACCACAGTTATACAAGAACTTCCTAGTGGGACTATGCCCTGTTATCAGTTCGAAAAATTTTCTTCTATCAATTGGGCCCCATCGTCTTATACTCTTCAAAATGCCCTTTACTTGCTTTCTACCCAACGATAAACCTAGTTTTGCTATGAACAGTCCTTTGCTGACTCTCTTCCACACCTCATGATCCCTCGTCTCCGAGAAGGCTTTCACCTCTCGTAAGGTGTATGACGCGGGAGCTCTCACAAATTTGAGATCTATACTATCACGCATCCTAGATAGATTTGCTCTAATATCAGCACACTCATTGGCATGTGAGCCAGCATGACCACGCACCCAGTGCACTGTAATCTGTGCATCATATAGTCTTCCAGCTTTTTCTACTTCATACCATATTAGTTGTGTTAGTTCAGTTCCTTTTTCTTTGGCTAATACTTTGATCGCACTAGTAGAATCGACATTGATTACGACTTCTTTCAGTCGACAGGCGTTTTCGCTATTGAACCACCTTAAAGCTTCTAGTATCCCACACTGTTCCGCTTGCATTATGCTGCAGTGGTCTGGAAGCCTATACCCTCTGTAGTGGTAGGATTCAGGCCGAACTACTATTCCTTCAACATTAGTTGTTCTTACTATCCCGCAACCAACTCTCGCCCCAATGTACCCCCGCTCTGATAGGGAACCATCAGTGAAGAAGATTGCCTTTCTTTTCGTAGTAAATGACCCTATAAGGGGCTTTCCCTCGTCTATTTCGATATTTAGATTTCTGGGACACAGTCCCAAATCCTTTTTAACCTCTCTGTCTACTGACATCGAGATCCCCCATTTGGTAAGGCACCTCCTCTCCTTCTTTCCGATATCCGCCCCCGGGCTGTGCAACCACCTCTTCGCACATCTTTCAGCGGCCCTGTTCCACAGTGATTCCGTCATTGCAGATAGGAACCATGAAAGGAGTTTGGTGGGAGTGCTTCCCACCAGTCCGTAGATGGCCCGCATAAAAGCCGCTTGTAGCTTTTCGTATTTGCTTATCAGCCATTTCTGGTTTAATATCTCACCATATACTTCTACCCCATAAGCAACTTGTGGACAGATTACTTGATTCCATATTAACACGGCTGTGTCTATACTACCACCCCATCTTTTCTGCCAAAAACCTCTACACAAAGCCACTGTTTTGGTTGCTTTCGATATCATATGGGCAACGTGGATCGCCCAACTTCTCCCCCAATAAACCCCTAACCATTTCACTGTATCTTTAAGTATACGTGCAGTGTCATTCATTCCCTTTTCTATCAGTTTTTCTTCTAGTGTATTTTTGAGACTTGTATCTTTAACAAAGATCTCATTTTTCGTCTTATTAGTCTGCAAATTTGCTCTCTCGGCCCATGCTTCCACAATTCTATCTGTATCCTCGATGGCAAAGATTAGATCTTCTACCGTGTTTGCTTCCAAGCAAACAGCTATATCATCCGCATAGATTGCCACCTTCCTCTTGAATCTTACGTTTTGTGTCGATAGCAGTTCTCCCAGTTCTATCGTACTCAGCATAAAACAGACAGGTCCTGTACAAGACCCTTGTGGTACCCCCAAAGACGTCGTCCTTTTAACACCGTCCAAGGTTGAGGTATGACCAACTGGATAGCTGTGGATCAGCTGAGACCATCTTTTGTTCGTTCTTTTCTTAAAAGTTTTGATTATATACTTCTGCGAAATTTTGTCGAATGCTGCTGATAGGTCATACAGCACCAATACTTTCTCCCCCCCTTTTGCTTCTAATACTTCGTCCTTCAGACTCCGAATGGCTGTAACAGTGCTCCTACTGTTTACATAGCCGTGTATATAGCTCGGTATAACAGCTATTTTCATAATCCTGTTTCTGATCACAGCTTCCACTGTTTTGGCCATAGACTTCAAGAGGCTGATCGGCCTCCACTTTTTGTGCTCCTCTTGTATATTATGTTGTCCTATCTTAGGAAGCAGAATGAGCTTCGCATCCTTCAAGCAGCTTGGATAAAAGGCAAATTCTAGAATTCGTTGTATCAGAATTCTAAATTTCTCTACCCATCTTTTTATATCACATGCAACTTGTATAAACTCATAGGCTATCTCATCACTGCCAGGTGCTTTCCCTTTCTTAAATTTCAAAACAGCT